CTAAAGAAAATGAAGAGTTATTATTATTCATTTTCTAAATTTCAGGGATATTACTTTGAATAGTCTAATGGTAAAAGTATAAAAACATCATTTTTTAACTTCTTATTGAGAATAAAAGTACTTGTTACTCATCTTACTTCTGTGGAAGAACAATCAAAATGTTCACTGAAACCTAATATAGGACAAAATTCTAAATACCACTTATAATTTCAAGAAAGAAACACTGCCTAGGTTACACACTATGTCAAACATTTGGTAGAAAGTCTCATGATGGAAATAAATAATAAACTTGTTAAAAGTCAAATATGCACCAGACGCAATTAATTATGTGGCAGCACTACATATTCTTCATGTTATTACAGTCTTCCAAACAATTCTATAATGTACTGTTATCAATATCTTACATATGTGAACAATGAGACTCAGAAACACTAAGTAACTTGCCCAAAGTAACTCGTAAATAGGAAGCATAAGATCTGAATTCAGGATTACTTGTCCCTAAAAAATGACTTTTTCCCCCAGAAGACACTTATATCTCACTTATAGTGTATTCTCCCCTATGTCTCAGTTCACAACCAATGATGCCTCCATATTTTTTAATTATCCTACTCATAAAACTCTCCTCAAAAGACAAAGTCCTCTAAGATTCCAGTACAAGGAAAATCATTTTTAACCTGTAGCTTATTAAAGTGTGTATGGGATTGTGTATGATAAGATACTTGAATACTTATTACATATATTATATAGGTATCTGCTTTACTCCCACTTAATAATATATCATAATCATACTCCCATACATTTCAAACTTTTTATGAACATTATTAAATAAATGCATATCAATCACATCAATTCACCATGATTTACCTAAATGTTCTCATTATGGACAATTAAACTATTTCCTAAATTCATCCCTATAAATAGTATAATGTGCTATATTATAAAAACATATTCTTAAATATGCATACTTCTTTGTATTTCACCAGAACTGCTTCTTAAGTAATAAAACAGAAAATACTGAGTCAAGGAACAGTCTGGATTCTTGACATATACAAGAAAATTACTTTCCAATAAGGTTACAATTGTTTCCGTGCCCATCAGGATTTTCTGAATATATTAGCCTTACTATATCTATGACAGGACCAAATTATCTTTTAATGAAATTTTTAATTGAATATACAAAAAGAGTACCTAATTTGATTTGATTTAAATTTATTCATAGACCAGATTTTCTGTCCTGTGGCCTTTCCAGTTTTCATGAACTACAAGAAATTTGTTGCCGATTTTCCATTATTAACATACTATTTTATTCTGTTGGTATAAGCCCTTCAAGTATTTAAAAATGCCATTTCTTTATCAAAATAATTAAAAATGTTTTTCAAATATGTGCTGGTTTTGATAAGTAGTTCTTAATTTTATATAATCAAATTTATTTTATACTGTTTGTTTTTCCCTTTGTTATTTTAAAGGTTATGAAATGTCCATTCAATGATTAACTGAACACTCAGCTCCATTTTCTTTTAGGATACAGTGATTACTGTATGCCCCTGTGTTGAAACTATGATATCTGGCTTACATGGGTATGGTGGAGCATAGTAGTAATCCTAGTACTTAGGAGGCTGCAGTAGGATAGGGTCTATGTTCAAGGTCACTTGGCTCTCATAGGTACTATGACTTTCTCAAAAACCAAACCAAAAAAAGTAAACTTTAAGAAATGTATTATCAAATGACTTGTTTTGGCATTTGTTTACTTCTCTAGATAAACTGTGAAACTATGCTCTCAATTTTTAGCACACACAAATTTCTATTGAGACTTTGACATTTTATTAAACTAATAAATTTTGAAAACAGCTTTACAATAATAAATCCAAGATATTTTCTTGATATGAGCAAAAAAGAAAAATGTGGCTTAAAATTTTATGTGTTTATGTATAGATTTATTTGAGTGTATGTGTCTGTGTGCATTATTAAAGAAAGAAATTTGGGGATGTACTATTTCTTTTGAAATGTAAGAAACCAACATCATAAAATTTCTTAATACATACTAAAACGAATTTTAAAAATTCTGTTTCTAAGGCACAAATATTGCTTCAGTTTGAATTACTCAATTTTTTTATTCACAAGTGAAATATAACCAACAATCAACTAGCTTATAATAAGCTGCCTATAGAATTAATCATTGAATCGGTTTTTAAAGTCTATTCAATGAAAAAACTAGTTTACTGTCTTTTGGGGAAATGCATTTAAAATGCTTGCTCTTACCTAATATTCCAGATTTAGGAATCAAAACTTACTGACTGCATCTCTGTGCTAGTATGAGTTTAGATAGTCCCACATCGAGAATGGAGGTCTGAAGAGTTTAAAAGAAAATTAGAAATGACTACAGGTAAGAATTTTTCAAAAACATTTGTGACACTTCTATAATCTAACACAAAAAATAATGAATGTTGGAGCCTTGACATACCATTGTCTTTCTACAGATTCTTTAAAGACTTTCCTTGGATGAGGGTCATAGACAGACTACCTACTAAAACCTATCCAAAATACATGCTCATGCATGCCAAGCTCTGCACTGGAGTTAGACTGATATAAGCCAGAGACCTCAGGCACTGAAGTACTGACTAGCTCTCAGAAGTACATTTTCCTTTATCTCAAGTTCTAGATCTCTCCTACACTCAACATCATAAATTCTGTAAGTTAGATGTTGAATTTCAATCATCCAATGAAAACTCTACCAGACTACCATTTCAAGACAAAATGAAATGGACAAAAACAAAAGCTATTCTCCTGCCTGAAACATCCAAAACACAGGACAAAATATATGAAATGATATTTCTCAAGACACCGGACATCTAGCAACAAAAGACAGTGACTACTTAGATATGAGTTAACAAATGTGGAATGCCCCACAATTTTCCTAGCTCACTACCTGGAAAGTTTCCAAGTGGTAGTGTAGGGTGCTCTAACCCAAGTAGAGCTCAGAGATTTCCTGAAGAAATGAGTTGGAGCCGAGAGTCTTAGAAAAGAGAATAATTCAGAGTACTGAAGCAAAGGAAATTGCAGATCAACCTCTCAAGATATGTAATCTTTCCCAGCATAGTACGTGGGAATGAGAACACTATGCTGAACCAGAAATAGAACCAAGTGCTATATACAAAACAATCCATGCAACTCACATTGGGCAAGGGATAGTTCCTGTTATATTCAGATAGAGCAGAAAACATCATACACATTGAATCAGAATAATCAGAAGGACTTTTTTGCTTTACTAGTAGATTAAAATTAATCCTAAATAAATGATGTTCGGGTCCATTCTAACAAATTTTAAAGAAAGGCATGAAAAGATGAAACTACATCTACATTTTCAAGTACGCCTAAGTGTATTTCCAGAAGCACAAAAATATTCATCATCTAATACCTTAACTTTCACAAAAATTGCCCAGAAAGAAGAAATTCCCAATCATGAGTCAAAGGGAACTACCTGACATCAAGGGGAAATATTGTCTAAATGATTAAAAGAACCCACGAAGCTCAAGAAGATGAAAGACATGCCTAGTTTGGAAAGCAAAATAAATCACTATAATTCCAAGGATATTGGTTAGCGTAATTAAGAAAGGTCATTGTTTGAATAGTAGGGAAAATTAACCCCATACTAAATGCTGCCCTAGTCTTAAATGAGGAAAACTTAAATG